TGTGGCCCCAAGTGCCTATGAATTGATATATGTGAAATGAATATTGGAATTGAGATGATTGATGGAAATGGTATTGATGTTTATGAAAATTCTTTGTGAATTGTTGTTGTTGTCATATGAAATGTGATTATCCGGTGGGATCGGGTTGCGCGCTGCAACACGAAGTAATAAGGTGTGGGTTGTGGTGATAAGGGTGGCTGAGGTAATAAGGGTGGCCAAGGTAATAAGGATGGAAAAGTGATCGAAATCACTATTGAAATGAGAATATGTGAAAGTTGTGAAATCATTGATGTGATGAAATTTTGTTGAAAGGGAAAAAGGAGAGATTGTGGAACTTGTTTGGCTTTGGTTGTTCCTTTCATGTGCGTTGGATTGTTGATTCTTACTGTTTGTTATCTATGTATTGATTGATTTTACTTGGGGTAAAGTTTGTTCATACATACCAGCACAATTCAAATGTACTGACGTCCCTTTTGTCGGGGGCGCTACATTCGTGTTATGATTGTAGGTGTTTCTATAGCAGACAGTGTTGGTCACAGCTAGTGCGCATCTCCCTTTCAACTGACTTGATGAGCCCCACTCCATTTCGGGGTCTTGTACCGTTGTTTATCATGTATGTTCTATTTTGAGGTATAGCCGGAGCCTTGTCGCCGGTATTTCCATATTAATTTTCAGTTTTACTTAGAGGCTCCGTAGACAGATTGTGGGTGGTATTTGATGTTGGGGATTTAAGTAGAAATGTTGGTATTTGTAAATCAAGTATTTTTTTAAGAAACTATAGATTTGTAATATTTTGGATATTTTGGTTGAAACTGCTAATGGAACCAAAGCAAAAGTTATTAATGAAATATTTTTCAAAATTTGTATAATGGAGTATATCTCCTCTTTGTTCAAGGGTGACTTTGGGTAGAATGAAATCTAGCAGGCTTGCTCAGTCGGGTTTACTCGGTTGAGTGCCGGTCGCGCTCCTCGATTTTGGGGCGTGACACCATGTCGCCATCTACTACTTCAAACAGGGTTGTCTTCATGATTCCTCTGATGTTTGTAAGCAGCAGGATCTCCCGTCGGGTTGTCACACTTGCTGAGTTGAACCCCGCGAGGAGCTTTGTGGCCGGAATGATGCTTCCGGTTAGCTTGGCTTGTTCCAGCACTCTCCATTGGATAATATTGGTTGAACTTCCTGGGTCAACCAAAATATGTTTAATTTTAAAATCTAAAATATTAAGAGAAATTAGGAGGGCATCGTTGTGCGGTAGTAGGAGTCTATAGGCGTCCTCCTCCGTGAAGGTGATATCGTCCTCGATGACTTCCTAGAGTCTTTTGCTATGAGTCACTGCTATTTTTGTCTTCTTTGCTTCTGAAAAGGTTACACCATTAATCTTATTCCCACCGAAAATCATGTTGATCGTTAGGTGAGGAAGATCTTCTCCTGTCTTCGAGGGTTTCGTGTTATCCCGGCTGCGGCCATAGTTATTTTTAGCCCAGTCGCTTAAGAACTCTCTAAGATGGTCATTTTTAGCAGTGTCGCCACCTCCTCACGCAAATATCAGCAGTCCCCATTCTGATGGCCGTTATACCCATGATACTCACACCATAGATTAGGATCCCTCTGACTGGGATCGGATCTCATCGGCATTGGGAGTCATGCTTCCTTAATGTTCATCATTGTCTATACCAGTTCCACTACGCTAACATTGATGTTATACTTGGACAATATGAGGTAGGTGGAATCTCGGGCGCCTGATGTCTCTTTGTCCTGCAACGATCTGTTATTCCTTCCACGCTTAACTTTCCTATCGGTAGTGAACCTGTCCGCCGACCGAAAACCTCTGCTGCATCCTTCGGCCCTTTCGTAGGGCTAAAAACAAGCCTTTAGAAGACTATCGATCTGCCTCAAATCATCAAAAACTTTTCCTTATTCTTCTATCGATCCCGACCCTTGGTTGATGCCGGAAAACCTAGTTAGTCATCCTCTATTCTTATCTTTGATTCGTAGCGATTGTGGACATCTGCCCATGTTGTCGCCTGGAACTCGAGCAGACTTTTTTTAGCTTCCGGGAAGTGTTAGAGCTCCTCGGGTTTAGCCCCTTAGTAAATGCCTCAGCTACCCATTCATCTGGCACGGTCGGTAATAGTATCTTTTCCTTCTGAAATCTGGTCATGAACTATCGCAGCAATTCAGACTCTCCTTGCGCAATTCTGAATATATCGGCCTTTCGGACCTGCACCTTCCTGGCCCCAGCATGGGCCTTGATAAAAGAATACGCGAGCATCTCGAAGGAATCTATTGAGTGGTCGGGTAGAAGCGAATACCATGCCAAGGACCCTTCGTGAGGGTCTCCCCAAACTTCTTCAGAAAGACTGACTCAATCTCGTGCGGAGCTAAGTCATTTCCTTTCACCGCCATTATCAAGGTGGTGATATGCTCCTGAGGATCTGAAGTCCCATTATGTTTTGTCAGTCCGGCATTTTTGAACCGCTTCGAAATTAACTCCGGTGTCGCGCTCGATTTGAACGGCAACTAGGTGTATTTCTTTGATTTTGGTCCTTTCAACACTGGCGGCGTGCCCTGGATTTAGTCTATTCGAGTGTTTATTTCCCTCATAAATCGCATGAATTCATTTTTAAAGGGAACATTCCCATCAACCAGATATGCTGTCGTTCCCGTCCGCTCTGTCGAAGATGACTTCACCTCTCAAGGTGTTCTTATCAACACTTTGTGTTGTTTGGTTTGCGGGAGCACTAGGAGGAACTGGACCTCTTCCATTCGCGTTGTTGGAAGCACCTGATAACGCTTGCCTCAACTCCGTCATGACCTGATATTGTCGCGAGAGATGGCCCATAATAGCCTTTTGTTGTTCCCTCAGGATTCTTATCATTTCCGCAACGTGATTGTCTTCAGCATCATCAGGAGTTGCCTCCTGAACGTGTCCTGGATATTGCCCACCATGTACCGGTGTGGCTACATCCTCCTTGTTGCGGGTATCACTGATCGAATCTTCGTGTTGAGGCTGATTTCCTTGGGCCTCAACATTATGTGCAATGTTGACATCATTATTTGCCATTTTTAATGATTTTTTGTTAAGAAACAAAAAATTAAACAGATTAGTAATACATTCAATGATCAACTCGATTACGCAACTGCCTAAACCCCACGGTGAACACTAAATAGTTTACCTATAAAACGGTTCAGTTGAACTTGTAGTATGGTTTATAGACAAACGAATAGATTTGATCCCAAAATGATAAACAATTAAATAGAATGCAAGACTTAGCGTTGAAATCGAGACAAGACAACAGATAACTTGATTCCGGTAGCAGAGCTTCTGAAGACAGTAATAAGAATATCAATAGCCAAGAACTGAGCTTTTGAATATGTAGCATAAGTTTGTCAGAAAATTTATCCCTTACAACGGTTGTTGAAGTCACAATTTATAGCTGCACCTGGGGAACAGGGTCCTAGGATCAAGCCCCTCTTAAATCAAAATTATGGGGGTCATTGATAATGTATAACGGCAGGCTATGAATGCCGAAATTCTCTATAACGAATTGTATATTTAATACTAAAAAATATCCTTCATTGAATGTCATCGGGTGGTAAACATTCGTTTGTCTTTCTTCGCAATATTCCCTTCGGGGTCTTCCCGATGCCAACCGAAGCTGCTATCTCCTGTCTTAGTTTCTACTTGTCTCGCTTTCCATCTGCCTCCGCTTCCACGTATCGCTCTATCATTCGAATATTTAATGCGAACCGATTTTACCCTGTACAATAATTCAGAACAATGAATTTATGTAATAGCTAGCATATTTTTAATATTATTATCTTTTTTACAACAGCAAAAAAATGAATTATATTGAATTGTATAGTTAAATTCACTAAGCTGTCGGTTTTGACAAGTCTTTTTCATTTTTTTGGGGGGAGTATGGGCAAGTCTTTTGGTCTGTATTTCGGTAATATCTTATCAAATTTATATATTTAAAATATCAAATTTTATACAATTTTAATTCATCAAACCAAATGAGTCCTACTAATCTAGACGTCTAATTCATGAGGCACAAGAAAAGCTCGTTTTCCTTGTCTTTCAACGAGCCAATGGTACAAGAGAACAAAATGATAGTTGAATGTAATCCAGAGACAATATTCCTTTGTTATAACTTATAAATTGAGACCAAAAAAAAAGGAACCAGAGAAAAAAAATGAGACGTGTTAGCTGAATGTGTTACATTTCAAAGTCTTGCAAATAACTATTTCTACATAATATGTGCTCCATATATTAAAAATTGAATAACTTATTTCACATTGCCAAAATATTGCTTAGCTTCAACGAGAGTTTTATTTCCTTAAATTTTTGTAATTAAAAATATACAATACTTGTGACCAGGGGCGGATTTATGTTAAGCGAAGCGGTGTTACTCGACACCGCTTCGTCGGAAATATTTACTAATTATACGTACTATTTCCATATAGAATATACAGATATATGTAAAGTAAGTGACATTGCAAGACAACAAGTGCCGTATGGTTTGCTGGTCGAGCGGTCAAATTTGCAGCATACCAAGGTCCGAGGGTTCGAAACTTGATTGCACGCGTGTTGTTTTGGAGGTCTTAAGCCACTTTTGTTAAAAAGTAAAGCCTCATTTGTATTAAAAAGTGAAAGCTGTAAAGGTTCAAAAGATTTTTTTGGTCACAGAAGTGGTAAGTAATTTTTATTGTCCAAAAATAAAAATTCACAATAACTCAGAGTTGATTTAGAACCTTAATAATGTTATTATAGTGGCTCGTTCATTTGGGCACTTATGAAAAATCCTGCTTACGCCCCTGCTTCTGACATAGGTTTGAGCATCTAAATTTTATGTTCAAACTTAAATAAATGTTTGCACCACTCTCCAAGCTGTACCGATTATATGTGAAAGTTGCAATTTTAACTAGCTAATTTTTTTTATTCTTTTCTTCAAATTACAATGCGATATCGCAGTTTTACAAGTTTATTGTAAACTTCTAACATTTCTTAACTCAAATTTATTGTCAAAGAAGTACTCTTACTCATAAACAGATAGTACAATTATTAACCTATTTTAGTTATGAGGATCAAATGGAGCTAGCCAATACATTATGGACATAGCTGTCAACCTATTTTAGTTATGAAGGTCAAATAGAGTTAGCTCATTATGTCTAAACCTCCAAGGTGACCAACCCAATAGCAAGGACTTCAGTTGGGGTGGGAGGGTACATATACTAATACAATTATTTGCCTAGATTTTCTTCACCATTTTAGCTTGCCTTTATGTTTCTGGGCCAGAACATTGAAAACATGGGCCAGGAAGGCAAATATGCCGGCTAAGAAGCACATAAGCCATGACAATGCAAATAATGCCCAGTCTAGGAATGTTTGTTTGACAAGTTGAGCCCTGTCTGAGATTAGAAGTGCTCTGTAAACTGCTTCAGTTACAGCATATGCTGTGATTGGATCATATTCATCAGCCAATAATCCATATTCTGTCACACAAACTATATCATACGTTCCAGTAGTCTCTGAGGCACCAAGATGTTTGCATATCTTCAGTCGGCAGTCTATTCGATCCTCGGTTGATAGCTTGTCTCCATGAGTTAAGATCAATATGGGGTTACCATCTGCATCGAGAATTGAACACTTGTTATGCTTAACTTCGAAATATTGATTGTGTAAAAAGTTCACACTATAAGGCCACTTGAAAGGTAATTGCAGGAAATTAGTCACAAATGAAACTTGTAACCTGAAAAATAAGGTAAGTAACCTTCTGCAATAAGTAAAATCCCATGACAGCATAAAATTTCATTACATTTTCACTGAATATAAATTAAGTTCATCTAAAAATATCCAGTTTCAGCTAGAATTTCTAGCAGCATGGAGAGAGAACATTAAGTGCAGAGTCATGGATGCCTGATCAGAACTCATACTGATTTTCCTCGTTTTTTTTTTGGTCAACCACAAAGGAGGAGGAAATGTCCAAGTGGTAGCATCAAACTTGTGGCACTACAATTCGAATTGTCACCTCTTGGCAACTAGGTTATCTCATTAGGAGCAAGCTTGTAATCGCTCCTTTCATTTTTATTTGTCGATTAAGGTGAAACTATTTGATCGCATTAATCATAAGGGGTATTCGACTAAATTACTCTTTATCTCTTCCTTAAATGAGTAATTAATGTCTTATGGAATTGAAAAAATGAAAGTAAGTATTGGAAGGATAGTGATTAAAGGGAAAGGAATAATTAAACTCACTGGATTTCTTGAGTGCTGGTGAGCAGAAGAGTTGTTTCAATGCATCCAATGGCTTCAAGTCACCAACTCTGAGAGACTTGTATATTTCTGAAGCATTAGCCACCAACATAACACAATTGACTTTTCTTTTGACAAACATTGAAGAAGCATCCTCCAATTTACTATCTAACTTTGGCAAAATATCTCCTGGTCTGGAGCAGAGCTTCTTATTGTGAACTCCATCAGCCATCCATTCTTTCAACTCTTGAAGACCTTCATCTACCTTATCATAATCGAAACCCCTTGTATCGTAAATGCAGAATCCGTTTCGTGTTGATCTTAGCACATTGTGCTCCTCCATGATCAAAGTTGTGTAAGCAGAAGCATTTCCTTTGATTTAAAACCCAATTCCACAAGAAACATGAGAAAAGATCCCAAGAGTTAAATGTTTTGTTAAGCTCTATTACAATCTAAGTCTGCACAAAGAATGAGAGTTACACTAGAATGATAACAACAACAATAACAAACCCAGTGAAATCCAACAAGTGAGGCATGGGAAGGGTAAAGTGTACGCAGACCTTAACCCTACCTTACACTGTAAATGGTGACAGTCAAATAAAAATACTCAAATTATGATGAAATCTCGTCATAATGAATACGCTGAGACATGCTTTCATTCAATAGAGAAAATATTTAAGTAAATAAGAAACTTGAAATGAGAGTCTCTTTTCAATAGGTAGGTGCTACATAGTTGCGGAACTAGAATTCTAATAGGGGATACAGAAAAATGCAAGAATGCTATAGTTGGTATTCAAACCTGCAATTGAAAGCAATTCTTGAGCCACCTTTGCTATTACACTAAAAGTTTCTATTATGTCAACTGGATTTAAAAATTTATACATAAAAAAAAAATATTTTTTAATCCTGGGAGATTTAATTAAACCCCTTGTTACAGATAACTCCGCTACTGTGCTACATTGTGACATGGTTGTATGGTACATTTATATGTTTATGAAATCAAATAATGAAGCTAAATAAAACAAAACGAAAGCTAGTTTGGGACTGAAACATAGTAGTTCTGAACTTCTGATAGTTTGCTGTCTCAAATGCTTTTTATTAGAATTAGAAAAAAGTTACTGAATTAACCAATTAGTACCTGAAGAAGTTTGAGCAAAAGGGATGAGACCAGAGCGACCAAGAACACTATACATAAGGTTAACAAGTGAACTTTTGCCAGCATTATGAAAACCAACCAACACTATAGTGTTCATAGGTGGAATATCAATATCTTCTTTGTTAATTCCACCAATTGGCACCCAAAAATCCCCTGCTCTGTACGACATTAGCTTTTGGCGTAGCTCATCAAGACTCTCTGAGGACATTAAAGCTAGCCTCTCCATTTCCCTTAGGACTTTTAGGGTTGGCGTCATTTTTGACAAATTAGGCATCTCAAACTTGAATTTTACACACTCGTTGAATTTTGCTGCTGATTTCCACCAGTAGTAAATAGCTCTATTTTCTTCTTCATCATGTTGATTAACAAAAAATTCGTCCCTCATTTTTGTGTGAGGCTACAGGAGCTCAGCTGCATTGCTATTTAAAGTAGTTCTTCACTACTTGCTGCCGTACAAATAATTACACAAGTCACAAGGGAGATGGGGACAAGAAATTGTACAACCAATGACGTAATGTTTCTTTACTAGGTTTGTTTTGCCCCACAACGATTACTCATTTGGTCGTTTCATTTCGCTCTACAGGAAATTTCTAAGCAACTGTACACGTGAAGAAGTTGCAATGAAGAGTGACCAAGTATCCGAAACAAAGTGAAATAAGTAGCTGCAATTGATACTGGATTAAAGTTAATAGGTAGCAAAAACCTATATTTAGAGATACAGTAGGGGCGGATCCACCCCTTTAAGAAGGGGTGGTATAAATTAGGTTACTTATCTTATTCTGCCACCCGCAACCGTAAACTAGACAAAGGTGTCATGACTGATAGACCTTTTTGAAAGTTTTTCTCGTGTAAAATTCAAGAATTTGTCTTGAACCTTGTCTGATTTTCTCTTTTCTTTGTGCTTTTATTTCCTTTTGTCCCGGTCATTTTCCCTTTTCGGCTACCACCGAATTTTCTATTTGTCGTTTTATTATTACTTTCTTTATATTTTTCTTTTCTCTATTCTATTTTTTTGTATGTGATCTCTAGCTAGAACACTCAAAAAAGACTCCTAAACTTTAAAAATATATAAAATAAGCGACCCTCTTAATTAAATTTATGAGTTTTCTTTTTCCAAATCCGAAAAACTTGAGTCTTAATGAGAATTTTGGATTGAGATCAAATTTTTTTCATCTATTTTATTATATCATAAAAAATTGTGCTATGCGATTGGTTGTTAGATATAATTTAATTCACTTTATTATAATTTCGTAAGCATTGCTTAAAATATATGTGATTTGTGATAAATTGTAGCTTATCTAATTTATGCTTATGAGGTATAATTTATCTATGGAAAATATTTTTTAAAATTTTCTTATTTTGGTTGATGTAATTCTCTTTTTGAAGATGTTCTTACTTGTGTAAATTAATTTTTAATATACAGAAAAGATGTAATTTTCCAACGAAAATATTGATTTTACTTATGTTGTTATAATAAAGATGTGATCCTATTTTAAAATTCTAATCACGTTTGTTTTTTCATATCTGAGATGTAATATTTAAATTTTAAAATTAAAAATACCTATTAGGTTGACCCAAATTAACTCAAAAAAATTTGATTAAACGTTCTTAACAAATTTCGTATTAATCATTATAAAGTATACATTAAAAAAAATTATGACACCCGTCAATTTCAAATCCTAGATCCGTCTCTGAGATTAATGGACTTAAGAAGCAACCAGAAGATAGGACGAAACCCCATAGAAACGTGGGAATGGCGGCGATGGAGTCAATAAGATGGCCCAAAGGATGGAAGAGTAAATCTGATCCATGTGCAAGTTGTAAAACTGGCTGCTTAATCGGGGTAATTATTCTCTGTTGACTGTACATTTAAAGGTAAATAAACTACTCCCTCTAATTCAATTTATGTGAACCTATTTGACTTAGCACAAAGTTTGGAAAAGAGTGAAGACTTTTAAACTTGTGGTGTAAAATGAATCACATATATTTTGTGTGGCTATAAATCATTGCATAAAGATAGATTGTTTCCAAATAGGAAAATGAGTTATTCTTTTTGGTACGGACTAAAAAGGAAATAGGTTCACATAAATTGAAACGGAAGAAGTAGATAATTACAATGTACAACTCAAGAAACAAATAGTACAACAACTCTACATCACTATTCTAATAGTAACAGCACATAGCAGAGTTTTTAGACATTTATATGGTACGAGGTACAAAAGATGACGTGGTGTTAACGTGACTCGGTGTGAAATTTAAGGCAATTTTTTTTTTTTAATAGAAATATGTGGTTTTATATAGGCCATGATATATTTTTGACTATAAAAGCACGTATATCATTAAGGGAAAAGTTAATGTTAAATTGTCCTGAAATATAAAAATGTGTCTGTATACGAGTGAAATCGGGGATAACACACACACTGGTCTCCCGATGAATCAAACGAAGTAAGAGCCTAAATATATGAGATCAAAATCGAAGCCGGGAACTCTTTGTATCGAGACCCATGAAAAGTGAACGGAGTGCTCACCATCGGACCTGATAAAACAACGCATCCTGGACTCGGGACAAGTTCCGAGACTTCGGAAAACACAATGTATGGTTATAAGCGACGGATAGAGGGTCGTGATATCCGCAACCGACTGGATATCACGGCACGGATCTCGCTCGATGACGGTTACGGATCAGTAATTAACGAGAAAGGAAGATTTTAATCTTTTTAAGACTTCTACTAGGTATGAAACTCTCCTACTATATAAAGGGGAAGGTTTTTCTTTGATAACACACATTGTAACAAGCAAACCAAGGCAATACAAATTCATTTTTCTGCTTCCAAGCTATTAAAAAGTTCTTGCTTTATTGTTGTTCTTCATTCACAATTGGTTTTGAACCAAGGGTCCAATCGAGGGCAAAACCACTGTTTAACCTAAGTTCGAGCCATGCCATAACACTACAATTGGTTTGATTGTTCATTTTGTCTTTGACTCGTTTATCTAACGTTCTTGATTATTTGTGTTGAATCAATCCACATATCCTTAAAATCACTTACAAATTTAATTGTTATTCGTTTTAAGGGTAAATAGTTTGGCGTCCACTGTAGGGATAAGGATAATATTGGTGATTTGATACAAATCTCCATAACACACTCTAGTTTACGCTTGTTCTTTAAATTCTTAATTTCAGCTCAGTTTAAAAAATATCAAATTATCAGTCTACCCACTTGGATGTTGATGTTGAGTCTGGCCATCAGGCGAAAACAACAATCTAATAGCTAGCAATGAGGTACCTCCTGCTGATCCCAACAGAGTTCCAATTGTTGATTCAGTCGATGCTAACTTACACGTGGCCATCGATGTCAACCTACCAGCTGATCCCAAAAATAGCATTTGCAGGGACCCCGACTAGTGGCTCAAGAAGCTCCCAAAAGCGAAGGCGATGGGGTTAGCCTACGGTTAATTTTCGAAATGTTGCAGGTTCAACATGCGGTGATGGCGCAACTCCAGAATCAAAGCCACGCCCCAACAGAATTGAGCCCAAACCATCCCGGGAGAACATCCGAAGGCATGATCAAATCACCAAGAGACTGGGTGAAGCTAAGTCCAGGGTTAGTCCCGAAGTAATGCAAATGCTTGAAACATTAACGAGCAGATGGAATTAGGTGAAAAGAAAATTGAGGCTAATGGCAAGAAGGTAGAAACATACAATTCCAGGGTCAATTAAATCCCGGGAGCACCCCCGATATTAAAGGGGTCGGATTCCAAGAAGTTGATCCAGAAGCCTTTTCCTTCGAGCGTGGCACCAAAGTCGATCCATAAGAGGTTTCATATGCCCGACATCCCAAAATATAACAAAATCACGGATCCGAATGAGCATGTGACATTCTTGATTGCGCATTCTTGCAGATGTTTTCGTGACTATTCCAGCATGTCGAACATCAAGATTGTCAGAATACAACTTCAACGATGATGCAGCCACCATCGTATCGGCCATCGGGTGCATCAAGGAAACCAAGTGGCCCCGACCATTGTAGTCATACCCTACCCTAGGAGATCCTAACTTGATGTGTATGTATCATGGCATTCATGGCCACAGGACCGAGGATTGCTGACAATTGAGAGAAAAAGTTGCTCGGTTGCTCAATAACAGGCACCTCAGAGAATTTCTGAGCGATCGAGCCAAAAACCACTTCAGGAACAAGGACACCAACAAACAGGCAGAACAAGAGGAGCTTTGACACATCATCAACGTGATCATTGGAGGGGTCGATATCCCCCAAGGGCCAATGATAAAACGCACTAAAAATCTATAATAAGGAAAAAATGCACCCGAGATTATGTTCCGGAGGGAACCATTTCGTTCAGTGACAACTACATATTGAGGTGCTGGTAATATCCGTACTTATCAATAAATCTCGAGTTAAATGTGTGTTGATTGATCCAAGTAGCTCGGCCAACATCATCAGATCGAGGGTCGTAGAGCAGTTAGGGTTACATGACCAAATAATGTCGGCGGTCCGGGTGTTAAACGGGTTTAACATGGCATGCGAAACCACTAAAGGGGAGATAACCTTGCCAGTGAACACTGCTGGGACAATCCAAGAGACAAAGTTCTACGTGATCGAATGAGACATGGGATACAACACCCTATTCAGAAGGATGTGCGTTCACAACATAAGGGCAGTACCCTCAACCTTACACCAGGCGCTGAAGTTCCCTACGCCAGGAGGAGTCAAAACGGTCTACAGAGAGCAGTCAAATGTAAAGAAAATATTTGCAGTCGACGAATCCTGGTGCCTGCAATTTCGACATCAAGGAACACAGAGCCGAACAGAAAGAAACAAATAAATAGTAATCACCGATGCAAGTCTCGACCGAATTGGAGGAACGAGGAGTAGACGAGGAGGATAATTACGGAGTCTCGAGATCGTTCATAGCTCCCGATGACACCGACGCCACCAAATCAATGATCGAAGAGTTGGAGCAAGTTATATTAATCTAACACCTACCAGATCGAAAGGTAACCCCCGAGCTCCGGAAAAAACTCATTGATTTTCTTAAAACTAACATAGATTGTTTTGTCCCATCTTGACATGACAGGGATCCCGCCAGAGGTAACCACTCATAAGATGAGGTTTGACCCAAAGTTCCATCTAGTTAAGCAGAAAAGGAGACCGCAGTCCGAGGTCAAGCATGCATTCATCAAGGATGAGGTATCTAAACTCCTTAAAATAGGATCCATTCGGGAGGTTAAGTACCTAGACTGGTTAGCTAACGTAGTAGTAGTTCCTAAAAAGGGAATAAGCTAAGAACGTGTGTAGATTACAAAGATCTAAACAAGGCATGCCTCCAAGGATTCTTTCCCTTTGCCTAACATCGGTCGGATGATCGACGCAACAATCCGACATGAGATACTGAGTTTTCTTGATGCCTATTCCGGGTACAACCAAATTCAGATGGACCTGGGTGATCAAGAAAAAACTTCTTTTATCACTAAGTTTGGCACCTATTGCTATAATGTAATGTCGTTCGGATTAAAGAACGTTGGTGCCACCTATCAATGCCTAGTAAACCGAGTGTTCGAAGAACAGATAGGGAAATTCATAGAGTTTATAATGACGACATGTTAGTCAAGTCCTTGCGAGCAGAGGACCATTTGAAACATTTGCAGGAGATCTTT